GGGAGCGGGGGGGGGGGGGGGAACCCTGGGGTGAAGCCGCCCCTGAGGAGCGGCCTGGGGCGGGGGGTCGTGTGGTGGAGAGGGCCCTGAGGCGCAGCCGGAGGAGGGACCCCGCGGAGGGGGGCTGACGCTGTCCGCCCGCAGTGCCATGGCGCAGTTCGTGTTCGAGGCGGACCTGCACGGGCTGCTGAAGCTGGACACGCCGATCCCTAACGCGCCGCCCGCTCGGTGGCAGCGCAAGGCCAAGGAGAGCGGCGCCCCCGGGCCCAGCCCTGCCGCTGGCCTGTCGCCCATGAAGCCGGCTAATCGCTCCCACAGCTCCAGCAAGACACCGTCCAGGACACCCGGTGAGCGGCGGCGACCAGCGGCGTGGGTTGGGTGGGGAGAGCGAGTGTCGCCTGGGCTGCTTGCCTGTAGCCGTGGGGCTCCGGGCTCCGTGACCGGCTGCCCTAGCCTGCTCGTCAGGCGGGAGGAGGTGGGCTACACTGCCTGGCTCCCGGGAGTCACCCACGCTCTCCTCCCCAGCATCAGGTGGGCAGAGCTCTGTGCCCTGGGCCTGGGTGAACTGCGGCCCTGCCAGCTGAGCCTTGCTGGCACAGCTGTGTGTTGGGACAAGTGTGGGTAGGACCCTCTGCTCACAGCTTTACATGCTGTGACAGTATTTTTGCATCTTCCCCTTATCTGTGAGCTCTGAAGTTGTTGCACTAGACCTGAGTTGTCTCCTGGCAGTCCCTAACCAGAGCTTAGTGCCATTATATGGAGCGGGAGGAGGAGGGGCAGAAATATGAGTTAGTTGTGACTGGATGGCTTGAACTCTGAGAGTCCTGCTTATCTGGAACTTGGCTGGTAGGTGTGATGTGGAAGAGTGCTGGGTCTGCTGTCTCTTGAAAGCTCGAATACAGGCTGTTCAATAGCTGTAAAACAATATTTATGCATGTGAATGCAGGTAAATCTGGATCCAAAATCCAGAGCACTCCAACAAAGGCCGGGGGGGATCGCTACATTCCCAACCGCAGCACTATGCAGATGGAGATGGCCAATTTCCTCCTAACCAAAGAGAATGACCCTGCTGAGGAGTCACCTACCAAGAAGGTGAGCATGTTGCTAAGTTACAATTACTGCAATGATCACTACCAAACACCTAGTCCTTCTTGGCCTTTTACAGAGAGGCAAACTGTAAGTTCTATCAAGTGGGTGCATGGGGCTGACAGCCCCAGCCATTACTGCCTCCATCTCTGGGCTTGAGGAGCCTGGGATGAGGTGGAAGCTGTAGAGCCTGCGAATAGGACAGGTACACAGCTACTACACTGGAGCCTGAGCACAGCTACTCTGTAGGGATGTTTTCCTAGGCACAGGGACGAGCACAGAGCCTTACACCTCTGCTTCCACTCACTCTAGCCTGTGCCACTTCTGGTAGCAAAATTCAGCTTTGGGCTAATGAGGCTTTAAAATACAGCAGGCTACAGAGACACAAAGCTGTGAGCCTGTGCACAGTGAAACTGCTGGTGGTAGCTATTCTAGGACAATGTCTACATGGGGAGCTATTCTGGAATGTGTACGCTGTGTTCTGAAATCTGTTTATGAAGCATTTGCTCCCTTGTGGCTGTGGCTTTCCCCACTGGCAAGGAGACACTGAATTTGCCACGCTTCCGTATGAAAATGCGAGCAGGCAGTGTGCCAATGTCTGAGGAAAAACTACTTTGAGCTGCCTGTCTGTGGCCAGCTTCCACAGCACAGCTGTACACCTCCTGATTCTAGGAGAAGGGGACTTAGGTGTGCGCTCCGTCAGCTGCAGTTTTAAGTGCAGCATGGGCTTTGTGTTTCAAATACATCTTGCTGAGGGTGGTTTTTCTCTGTAGGAGCAACAGAAAGCCTGGGCAGTGAATCTGAATGGCTTTGATATAGAAGAGACAAAGATCCTCCGCCTCAGTGGAAAGCCACAGAATGCTCCGGAAGGTATGATACAGGCTCTGTGTGAGTTGACTCAGCTGGAGAGATCTGGGCATGGGAACAGCAACATGGAGGCCCTGCGTGTGGACACAGGAAAGAGCAACTGGCTGCTTCTCAGAGCTCCTGTGCACACTGGAGTCTCCCTCCTTAGGTTTCCTGAGGTTGAGGGGCTGCATAACAGCTATGGTGAATTTATTTACGGAAGTTGAAATGACTGCCAGTTGCTCACTTGCACTGCAGGTGGCAAACCTTCCTGAGGTCTGTGAAAGCTTCAAACTCTCTGCTGTGCATTTTGTAGCTTAACTGCCACTAAACATAATGGAATACAGAAAACCAAGTGCTTGTCAGTTAAACTTGTTCCTGTGAATTAGAGAATTGGATCTCATCCTGGGTCAGCAGTTCATACTGCCAGTGATGTTGTCACACTGCACTCTTCTGAGCCTCTCTCTTCTCTTGGGACTTCATTTTCACTGGAAGGGATTTGTAGTTGGGTGAGCAGCACTCAGCTGGGAGGAAACAGTGACTCAGGTTAACAAATCTGTTCCTCTGCACACAGGCTATCAGAATAACCTGAAAGTGCTCTACAGTCAGAAAATGACACCTGGATCCAGCAGGAAGAATGGCAGATACATTCCCTCAATGCCAGACCGGATCCTGGATGCACCAGAGATCCGCAATGACTATTGTAAGTAAGCTGCAATGTTGAGTGCTGGGCACTGAGATCATTCTGCACTGGAGTGCAGTTCCTAAGACAGTGTGGTCTGAGGAACTGGAGCTCCAACTGGGCTGTTTCAGTACCTTATGCACCCAGGCTGGCACCGGCCACGTCTGGAGTGTCCCTGTGTAGCCTTACAGGGACAGTGGTCCAGAGTGCTGTGTAGGTGACTTGGATCAGGGCTGCCTGACCCCACTTGCTGGGCATGGTGACACCCAGAAGGCTGCCCCTTACCTGTATGTGCGTGTGCACACACACCCCTGGTGCAGGTGGAAGATCTGGCACCAGCAGTGGTGAAGGGCAGGGCTCTCCAGGTAAGCACAGTGTGACCTGCATTGCTCTTCCAAACTGTAGATCTGAATCTTATTGACTGGAGCTCTCAGAACTTCCTGGCAGTGGCTCTGGACAACTCTGTCTATCTGTGGAATCACGCCTCTGGGGAGATTATCCAGCTGCTGCAGATGGAGCATCCAGATGATTACGTCTCCTCTGTGTCATGGATTAAAGAAGGAAACTACCTTGCCGTTGGCACAAGTAACGCTGAGGTCCAGGTGAGCACGGGGGTAAAACTAGAGGTGTTGTCTAGGGATGGCTGGAGCTCTGGGGCCTCGGGACAAAGGCTTGGCTAGCACAAGAAGGATGCAATGCACCCTGACTTGTCTTGACTGGTATGGAGTGGAAATGTCCACATCCAGCCATGGCCAATGATCAACTGCAGCAGCAAGGCAGAGTTAGGTTCTGGGGTTTTCTGACACCTGGAGTTACCTTCTGCTCTGTAAGCATGAGATACAAATTGATCTCTGCTCCAATGCTGACAAGGCTGAATGCCAGAGCCTGTGCAGTGAGGTTCCTAGGGCAAAGCAACAGGGCTGGGTTTCCTCGTCCTCTGGAGAACTTATTGCTCTGCCTCTCTTAGCTATGGGACATACAGCAGCAGAAACGTCTCCGAAACATGACCAGCCATTCTTCCCGTGTGGGGTCCCTCAGCTGGAACAGCTACATCCTCTCCAGGTAAAGCGCTGGGTGGGGGTGGGTGAAGGGCAGTGTCCAGCTGTTGCAGATTCCTATCCTAGATCTGTGAGTGGTGCAGGTTAGGGATGGCAGAGAGGAGTTTCTGTCCTGGCTTGCGATTCTTACTCAGCCTGTTCTGTTGGGACTGCGGGGAGAAGGTCTCTTTGCTCTTGCCCCTTGTGCTGAAGTTGCGAAGAGCTGCTGTGGCTGCTTTGCTCATGTGCCAGCCTGACCCTGCAAGCCTTCTCTCTGCAGTGGGGCACGGACTGGCCACATCCACCACCATGACGTCCGAGTGGCTGAGCACCACGTGGCCACACTTGCTGGCCACACGCAGGAGGTGTGCGGACTCAAGTGGTCTCTAGACGGCCGCTACCTGGCCAGTGGTGGCAATGATAACCTGGTGAACATTTGGCCATGCACCCAGGGGGACAGTGGAGACTTTGCTCCTGTACAGACCTTCACTCAGCACCAGGGTGCTGTTAAGGTGAGTGCAGGGCTGCTGCGGGTGAGGAGTGGGCATGTGTCCTTGTGCAAGACAGGCAGCGTTGGCTGTGCTCAGGCTGCCTCTTGTATGTCTTAGAACTAACCCTTTTCTCTCAGGCTGTGGCGTGGTGTCCGTGGCAGTCAAATGTCCTGGCCACGGGAGGTGGGACTAGTGACAGACACATACGCATCTGGAATGTGTGTTCCGGCACCTGCCTCAGTGCTGTTGATGCCCATTCCCAGGTAAGACGTGATCATCAGCTTGGTGACAAACACCTTCTGACAGGACACTTACACAGAGCTGCTGGCTCCTGAGGCCCAGAGGCAGGGAAAGGAGGGGACCATGCTCGTCTCTGGGTGATGAGCATCAGCACAAGCAGCTTGTCTTACCTGCGTTGCTACGTCTTCCTAGGTCTGTTCTATCCTGTGGTCAACAAACTACAAGGAGTTCATTTCTGGCCACGGCTTTGCACAGAATCAGCTAGTTATATGGAAGTATCCAACGATGGCCAAGGTCACTGAGCTGCGAGGTAGGCTGGGCCCTTTGCCTGGGGAGGGGAGGGCTGCTAGAGGCTGCAGGCAGATATAATCCTTGGTTTCAGCAGGCTGGTGGCCTAGCCTAGAGCATCACTGATGCAGAGTGGTGTCCAGGGGCATGCTGCTAGAGGGAGGCACGCCTGTGGGCTGCTGAAGAAAGGCCATTGCTCCAAATGCATCGCCTGGGCTGTGAATTCATGGTGTGGGGACAGCTACACGAGCCGGTGGGGCTCATGGGGCACGTGGGAGTGAACTTGACCGTTGTGGTAGAACGAGAGGGACCAGGACATGCAGTGGTCAGCCCAGCCCTGACTGCATGCCTCCTCCTCAGGTCACACTGCCAGAGTCTTGAACCTGACTATGAGCCCTGATGGTGTAACAGTGGCCTCGGCAGCTGCTGATGAAACGCTGCGGCTCTGGCGCTGTTTT